GCAGTAGGCAGCTATTGGCTAGTCTGCCCACTAAGAGATTTTCTTGCATTTTTCAGGGTTCTCCTGAATGATGCCTGATCCAGGTGATAATATACTGCAACGATACCTTCAAGAACTCTTTAATCAACATCATAATCTGGCTTCACCACCAAGCTCCTGAAACTCATACACATGCAGTTCAGAGAAGACACTCCCAAAGCATAGAGAGGTCCCCAAAAGAGGAGCACAGAAAGCCCCAGCACTGAGATACTGAATGGGGGGAAAGAAGGGGGCAAAAATGGAAGGATTTCCCATGTACTCCCAGCTTGCTGGTGAGTTTTTGACACAGGTCTCGGCAGAGGTTTGTATCCAGCTTGTGACTCCTCCTTTTCCTGCTTCTCTGCATCCATCAGATGCTGAGCCCAGGTGGTGCACTGAGAGCTTTCCACTTTCCAGCTTCCCTGCAGGAACCAACTTCTGGCTGTTCAGTGAAGGACAAAGGAAGAGGAAGCAGAGGCTGCTTCCAGCAGCAGAAGGGGCAGGGGCCCTAAACTGGTGGTTTTAAAGCTGGAGGAAGAGGTGGAGCAAATCCAAAGAGTGTGTAGGAAGACACAGGAAAAAAAATCTGTAGCAGTGCTGATATAGATCCTTAGGTCAGTGTAACCAGTAAAAGATCACGCAGTCAACCAGGAATGAAATCATGGCTTGAGCATTGATTTTGTGCCACCAATAAAATCCTGTGGGTGTAGTCATTTAAAGGGTAGGCTTTGCCTGGCTTTTTCATACTTTGGAGCAAATGCAGTCATTCTAGCCAGGGAGCTGAAGGGAAATGATTTATGAGGACAGAGCTAAATGCTTATTGCTAGGTTAAACAACAATAAGGGCAGACATAACAGCCTACAAATACCCACAGGATTAAATGTCAAGGAGTGTGAGGAATTGTCTTGAACAGTAAGATAAATGTGCTAAGACTGAGGTGCACTGGCCTGTGGTACACTTGCCCAAACAGCTAAAGTTTTGTTGGTTGTGACTAACATGGGCAAAGCATGAGCAAATAAAAGGCAAGAAGTGATTCTGCCCTGCTGCACAGGTGAAAGGGTTTACTCAAATCTGTTCCACATTCAGATCAGCTTTATTTCTCCATCACAGCAGAAGATATCTGCAATGCTAATCAAGGTATAGGAGTTCAAGACAGCATTCTGGAGACATACTGCAACTGCCTTTCCTATTATGATTTTTTGACAGCAGCAACTACAAACCTTATTTCATCAGGAAAGTTTCAAGTTGATTGTATAAATGAAAAAGTCACATAGCTGCTATTGCAACGAGTAAGCACATAAGATCACTCATAGCCAGAAAGACTATCCACCACAGCAGTTTCACTACAATTAACACCCAAATTACCCTGCACAGAGGATGTGTTAACATCACACCCTATTTCATGCCCACTGTAGCCCCTGAAACATCTCTTCAAATGGCTTCAACTTCATTTTGTGCTGAGCACCTCTATGAGGGGTGAGCTCCAGCCCAAGGTCATGTTTCCAGGAGGTGAGGATTTCAGCAGGAGCTGAATGCACTCGATGGACAAAACTGCTGTTGGGGTTACACTGAGAAAGAACCCAAGGAGAAGGGAAGGAATATGAGGTGAAAAAAAAGCACCTTTGAACTTTGTTTCACAGCATAGTATTGCAACAAGGGCAGGGTTAGGAGCAAGAGGTTACAACTAGCAAGGTGGAGAGGTAAAAAGAGATTGCCTCTGGATTCCTCAGATTGTGAAATTATTGCCTCACTGAAGGAAATACATACAGGCAAAGGGGAGAAACAGCTGCTACATACGCAGTCATGAATTATAGTAAGGGGAAGGTGAAAGGAAAACTAAACCAAAGCAAATGCACCGCCACAGGAAACAAATGTAACCCTAAGATACTCTGCATCTCCCTCCTTTCTGGCAGATATCTTTCCAATCACCGCGAGTTGATCTGTGTGCATAAATTGGATGTTTCCTTTTCTTCCTGCCCTCACTGGGATGCTGGATCACCAATGAGTGTGCTACTTCCCCCTGGGCTGTCAGGAACACCACGTGCACTTATCCCTGACTTCTGAAAAACAATTCCAGCACTGGGTGCCCACTGACAAGAGAGAAGACACAAACAGTTCCTTGGCCTCTTTGTATATGAAGAAGGTAAATTGCTTGTGAACACCCAAAAAACTTTCTTTAGAGGAGCTACACATGGCTGATTGCTGTGGAGAGAGAGGATTGATTGAAAACCAGGGAAGCTAGGGAGGGATTTGCTCTGGGTGAGTGTTGGGAGGTAGTTCTCTTGATGGTTATGTGTCTTCTATGCATGTGCAGAACAAAAGACATGGCTGAAATTAGATAGGGATTTCAGGATTATCCAAAAACATACTATAATTCGCCTGCCTTCTGAAGGCTAGGAAAGAGCTGAGCATCCCATAGGAAATTTCACTCAATGTCTGATTTCAAAGCATTTTTCCAAAAGATGAAGGAGTATTCAGGTACAAAGAACCAAAGCAGCCAACTCACCTTCAGCTCCCTATTCTTATTGTCAAAGGTTTTCAAGTGGCAGGAAAAAAAATTACTGAGGAAGAAGAGCCTTGTAATTAAATCCTTAATTTGTGATTCAGGTTCTTCTTCTCACTTGAGCTTAATGCCTATAAAACAGTCACAACAGGAGGTGCCCTATATAAAAGTGTAAACACTATGATGCTTAAAGGTACACAATAGATTCCAAAGGTTTGTGAGCCACAGCACGCCGTCAGGAGGCCACAGTGGGAAGAGCTGACTGACGAGGCAGCAGCATTGCTCCTGTGGCAGATATCTCTAAGAAAATTCAGGCAGAGTCATGCTATGCAAAATTGTACCAGAAAGAGATTCTGATCCTTTTCTGTCCACGTCTGTGTTATGGAAGGAAAGTGTTTCCCATTTTCCAGACCTGTGTGGGGCTTTTATTCTTTTTAGATTTTTAGATGAGCAGGAAGTTAAAACCATTACCTGAACAGAACCATTCAAGTTATAAGCTCTGACTCTCTCAAAAACCCATTTTCCCTCTTATAACAGACTGCAACGAGCAAGGCACCTTCAGCCCTCTGCTTTTGTTTCACTAGTTTTGTGGCATATCACAACACACCACACAAAAACCCAAGGTAGGAAACGAAAAGAAGAAAAGAATCTGTTCTGTGAATCTTTACTTTTGTCTGGAATCCTTTTCTGGATGTTTATGGCATCCCATAAAGTTGCTGAAACATGCCTGCTGTATTTTTAATTGTCATTTTAAATGTCAAAACCCAGAAGTCCTGCTTATATTGTATGCGAACACAGTGTCTGCTTATGTTCAAACCCTCAGGTGCTTTAAATAACTCTACTGTACACAGAGAACGTTGTTCATTTTGTTTTTACAATTTTTGCCTGTGTAGAAGGAGCTATAATGTCTTGAGAACATAAATGTATGTTCATAACCACGGAGCGAGATCACAGCTGGAATCTACCTGAGCCTTGGATCATATTTCAGCAGTGGCAAGAAGCGAAAGAGCAGCTTATTTCTCTGTTTAATTTACAAGAGCTACAACTGGAACGGCACATACTAGACTTACTGATGTAACACACAGGTGAATGTGTTACAGGTCCACCTCTGTGCTGGGTCCCCAGGGGATACTAGGTTGTTTCAGCCAGACTTAAGAGCCGTTACTGCTGCAGCCCTGGAGGAAGCTGGTCCGAGCCCTGGTGAGCTAGTAAAGGTGGCAGCTGCCATAACAGACTTCTGTGCAGGCTACAAACGTGGGGCATAAAATGGGGGTCTTTTTATTGATTCCAGCGAGTTTCGTATCAAGCATCCATTGTTCTGTCTTAAAGTATAAACCATTACAGAGAATTCATAAGCAAATTTGCTTTTTTCTTTCGAGGATTACACAGTAGCAGATCGTAATTTCCTTTAAATGCATCTATTATTCATCAGTATTCAATAAGTTTTATTATGAGCTGCAAAACAGCATATGTATTTTTATACTCGGTTCCAGTCTGTTCCCTACCTGTGTTCTGCAACATCCATTTTCAGTTTAGAAATGACCGGTCACGAATGTCACAGGATAATATGTGTTTCCTGAGTAAAGACACAGACAAGTACCTTGCCTACATTCATTTTACACATTAATTTGCTGTAAATAATCTCACATGCAGTTTTGCCACTTCCTTTCCATAGGAATCTCTGTAAGTATGTTGACATACTGTGGCTTGAAGAAAGCTGACATGTAGTATTTATGAGAGGAGAGGAAGTAAATTAATTTCAGTGCTTGATTCAAGATAAAAGAAAAGGTTTCTGCAGTATTCATTTACACACAGTACTAAGAGAAGGTACGGTCCCTCCTCTACTCCAGCCATATTAACAGGGAAGGAAACTCCTGCTGACTTAGAACTACAGACAAGGGGTTAAAGAAAGAGAGTCTTCATTTCCTAGTATGTACCCTATAAAGCAGTCCTATAACAGCTGTCATTATCTGCAGCATGCACAGTAGAGGGATAGGTGGAGAAATAAAGCTGTACATGTAGGTAAACACCCTTTTCTTAAGCAACTACCATTTTTTTCTAATGATATGTACAAGGATCATTTGGGGACTTCCTTCCCTTGAAGTCTGGGTTTCCTGAGAGGAAGGAGAGATGAAATACAGGAACAAGCGGCTGCACATCATTTCCAGCTGTGTAGTAGACCTTCCTTATTAACACAGGTTTAGGAACCCACATCTGAATCCCCAAACTTCCTGATGTTCTCCCTTTGAAAGGAGGGATGATGGGGAAGGAGATGGGTGGAGAGGGTGAAGAGGTGGTTCTGTCCTTTTAAAGGCCTTTCAGGCACAACAAAACGACTTCCATACTCCTAAATCTACCATAAAAAGTAGGTTGCAATACAAGTGGGAAATAGAAGGAAATGTTTCAGCTAATAAAATGTGCTGGACTGGCACCAAACTTCTGCTTGAAAAGCTGTTTATAATCAACAGTGATTACTTACACTGTCATTGCAAGACATTGGAGGACTCAGAGATCGAAGGGTACCTGGTTCATCCGGATGAGACCTGGAAAACACAATGCCATGAATCAGTAAACACCCACAGCAAACAATATGTTTTTTATGAATGCTATTAGAAAAGGAGGAAATGTCCAAAACCAGACTGATGAACTGCTCCATGACCAGAGAAAATAAAATCTGCCCTGTTCACTATTTCACCACTGATATAAGAGAAGCAAAATCAAATCCACTTGATAAGAACATCAGGGCTGTGTTACAGATCACTTTTTAAGCCTCTGAAAGGGTTAATGGGACCCAAGAGATAATAAATACATTATGCAGCTGTGTAGGTGCCAGAAAAATGAATATAGGTTGATTTTTAAAAACTTAACCTATGCAGAGTGAGTCATAATCTTCACCTTGCGTCATTCAATAAATGGGTCTTTAGAAAATGAACCCACTGTGACTGGGCTGCTGGCTCTCTAAAAGCAAGCACCCTGTTCTCCTGCCTACAGCCTGCCCAGTTGTAAAGATCAAAATAGCTATTCCCCATAGGCTACAGTGTGATGGCAACAATGGGATCAAATACATGTTTGTGGGGTTACTGCATTTCTCTTATAAGGTTAAAAGGTTCTGACTGAAACAAATGCTTCTATATCATGAGACATTCATTCTTAATCATAAATGTGCATTATTCTCATCACAACTGCTGCTGTGCCTTGTAACAGTGTTTCCTCGTTCAATTATGCCTCACTCACAGTCACTTTTTAATTAATACCTTCATTAGGAAAACCTTGAAGGTTCAGATAAATAACATTTGTTTTTGTGCATTTCAACCACAAGTTTCTGCATGAAGGAAAGTTCTCTATTTTGTAGTCACCCTGGAAAAGAAAAGCAAGTAGAGAAGAGGTCTACATGTTCACAAGATCTCTGCACTGAGAAGACAGAATAATCATCTTTTGTTGAATAGGAAAATAATGCAAAACAAAGTAAACAACGCCCTTTTGTTCTGCACAAGAAAGACAGGGCTTTAATAGTCTTTAAACGAGATAGAAAATTTCCATCCAAATGGAACCATGGAGTAGGTAGACACATTACAACGTTTTGGAGCTCAGTGATTAAATTTAATACTGTGCCAAACAGCGATTAGTTGATGAAGGGCATTCATAAATGGAATAGAAACAAGGGAAGTGTGGCTCCAGTATAACACTGGGTCTCCAGTACACTTTGGTGCTCAGCTTTTTACTTTAATAACAGGGTCAAACGAAAATAAGTTTAATTTGATTTATTTCCCTAAGGAAACTCAGTGGAATTGTAAACACAGGCTGACTGGGACATATTACTAAAACTTCAGCTTCAGGGTCAGATCCAAGAAAAGGGTTTAGGTGCCTACTGAAGCGCAGCAATTTATCCTTTTCTTCAGCATTTTTCCAGCTCGCTAACTCAATCCCCCTGCTCAGAGTATTGGTTCACATGAGCCCCATTACTAGGCACTGAATTCCCCCAACTCAGTGTGCAGGCAAAGCAGCATCCTAATTAAAGCTTCTGAATCCCAGCCTCAGAGCTGGGTGCCTGTGTCCTTTATGGATCTCCGTCTTAGTACATTAAAATCCTTTGCTGAGCTCAATGCAGCACATTGTCCTTAACACTCTACATACGTGACTGATGATCCAGGAGAACAGGAGCACAAATCCTTTTTAACTTATCTGTGTTCTCTGCTAAGCCCATCTAAACCAGGCAGCAAGCATGTGGTGTGCAGGGAAGCCAGCAGCAATGCATGAGCCCCACGCACACGGAAAGATCAGGTCTGCTTCAGCAAACAGTCACTGCTTTGGCACAAAATGAAGAATTACTCCCCGACCTCTGCTAGATGACCTTTGAAGAAAATGAAATTTTCACTTCGGTTTCAGCTAAATGAAATGTTCCAGCCCATCTCAGAGTCTGAAGTATCGGCACCTGAATTCTCACATACACCAAAAACATGAACTGAATGAAACTATCTGTGTAGACTCCCCTGACACAGCTCTTCTCTGCTTCCCTTTCTTTCTTCACCTATTCCTACATCCCAACAGGAGGACATCATCATTTTAATTTGAAAGAAGTCCTTTTATTTTAAAACCTTTTTTGGGCCAGATTCTGTTCTTAGCTGCAGCAGCACAAATCTGCTGATTTTTCATGGGCCTTTTCCAATGACATTCTGATGTAAGCAAGATCAGAATCTTGTTTTGGTGAGAAGTCGCAGGGTTATGCTAATGCTCAGTTGTGGTACAGGTCACAGATTCTGGTGAAATCTCATCTATTTATGCAGAAGAGAATTCAGAGTTAGGAATTCCAATAATAGCAACACGATTGTTAAAAATGATAAATTACACAGAATGTCTCAGGCACTTTGCTTAAAATTTAAAACCCGTTCATTAATTAACAACAATTAATCACCATGAAGCATGTTATGCATGCTAACTAAGCTGCAACTATCATTCCAAAAAAATAAAGAAGTCCAGGAAAAATTCTCTTGGAGCCTCTATTTAGCACCTCAATGAATGACTGTGTGAAGCTCCTGTCAGGATCCTCCATCACCGGCGACTTCCCTGCCTGCCAGGGGGCCTGGGAGCTTTTATCATCAGGGGCAGATGTGATTTGTACCTTAGAAAAGTTCCAGGCTTATTCTTCATGTATGATTTGTGTTCCAGGTGATGGTAAGAGGTAAATCTGAGAGGCTTTCTCCACGGTGATCGAATGCCAAGAAGTGGAGCAGTTTACTGGAACAGCAGCAGCTTCTAATGTCTTCGAAATGATGGTATTCACAAGGAAGGTAGGATATTTTACGTTCTGTAAAGCTGAGCTAGACCATTTTGGCAAAGAGTCTGTCTGCCTGCCAAGGGTGGGGTAGGTATTTACTATCTATATAATCACTTCCTACTGCAAGTGGGTCAGGTAAGTCAAATAACTTATAGCCAAAGGAGCCTTTGGTCGAGACTGGTAGAAGTCTAGCCTGTAAGTAAATACATCCCTGTGCTACACAGAGCACATCCTCTGTCATGTGATGTCTCAGCCATTTCCTGGTACTGCCCCTCTAACAAATATTTCACTTTATCTCCCTCTGATTGTAACACTGGCAGTTTCACCACTGAGGTTGCTGTTGCTGCACTTTCTAGTGTCAATGGCCTGCTGTGAACTGGAAAAATACCTACCAAAAAAAAACCAGTCAAGCTCTTGAATGATACCAAAGGCTCTCTCTTTCTCTGCCTTTTTTGTAGCACACCGGGCAGTCATCCAGTTTGTCAGTTCTGCTTGTCCTGCTCCATACTGAACGTCTCAGAATCCAGCCCTCACATCAGGCTTTCAACAAAAACTGCAGCAAGATGAGCTTGCTGTGCATGATCAGTGTACTGCATGGCTTTCCCTCAACCTTAGCCTGGGTGCCTTACATTTACATGCGTGGATTGTTTTTGTTCTGGCACCCGGTTGGGGTAAAAGGCATTGTATGTGTGTGATGGGGTGGTAAATCCCAAACTCAGCAAGAGTTCAGAGATGCTGCTTTGCACGATGGTAAGAAATAACTCACTTCTGGCTGAAATGCTTAAAAAAAGGAAAGTAACCTGGATGGTGAGAATAACTACTGGCTCCTGGCCAGCTCCTGCACGCGAGGATGGAGCAGGCAGTCCTGTCTAGTGGCAGATCCCACTTGTGTGCTGAGCAGGCTCTCCTCTAGTCTAAGCAATGGTCCCTGCAGAGCTGCTGGGAAAAGATGCAGTGGTTCTTGAAAAGATGCTTAAGTATTCAGAACATATCTGATAATGTTATGGCTTTGATCCCCATAAATATTTTGGGCAATGCTGTTTGAAATTTTGCCTCAACTCACTAAACTGTCTATCTCTGAAAGTCAGAATCATTCTTCCAGACTGCAGCTGAACCACATAAAGAAAGGAGCAAGGAGATCCTCCAGATACCAGTCAGCATGACCGAGAGATGTCCAAGTGTTTCATAATCCTTTACTGGAAACCAAGTCAGCAAAACAAAAAGATGCTCACAGACTCTAGTGGGGTCTGGATTACACCAATGCCTTCCAGGGAACAGCTCAATGAATCCTGGCAGTTTAGAGCTGCTTTCTTTAAATCAAATTTCTGAAAATGAATAGGCTAATTAGCAGATCCACTACGTTATCATGAAAACTTGTTGCTGTCCATCTTTCACAACAAGCATACTTCTTTAACGAGTGAATGCCTGTATTATCACTAAATGGATTTGAAAATTAACACTGCAACTGTATGCCATATGAAAGTACTCTGGTTTGATCTTCACAAGGTCATCCCAGTTGCTTCACCCCATAAAATAAACCACAAACACAATACTGAATGAGTCAGAACACACAACTGGCTCTAAGAGAAGGGATAAATACCTCAAAGAGTCCAGCAGACAGAAGGCACAGTGCAAAGCTAAAGGTGCAGCAGTGCATGGTAGCAGTTGAATGAACAGGAGCTGAGGAAGCGAAGAATGTTTTTCTCTAAAACCGCCTTTTTCATGCTCCTCCATATCCCAACAAAGCTAACGACCGTTACAGGGCCAGATCAGTGTCTGAACTGGGAAGCTGGGAGATTCCAGCTGCAAACTGAGCAGTGGCCACAGGCTCTGGCACTCCTGATCACAGCCTTGGAAAGAGCTTCCAATGGTCTTACACAAAAAGTCCTTTCAGGAGCGCTCCATAAAATATGTCTGAAGAAAGACCGTTAGGAGGAGACTTGGTTTAGTTCTGGCCTCTTCTGTTTAGCTCAGGTGTTGTTTTTTCACACGCAGAAACACATGTACAGACTTAGTACACCATACAATGCCTCACTAAAGCCATCAAATGGTGGTTACAACTTCATCCAAGATCAACAAAGACCTTTTCCACAAGTAAGCCTTTGTGTTTGGGAAGCCTTTGCCCTGAATTTTATTGTCTCCCAATCAACTAGCAGGTGCTCTGCAGTTGGACTCGAGCAATTTAGGGGCAGCCTGCACAGCAACTTCCCAAGCTGGCAAGCAAGCAATCCTGACTAGCAGTTAGGTACTGGAATGGGTAAGTTTTAT